ACACAAATTACAGTTTAACGACATTATCAAACTACGAAAGGTCAAACTTTAAAGATTTTAGAAAAAAAATCATGCTTTTATCTTTATGATATCAATAAGGAAAAATTTCTTGAACAAGATATGAAAAGTATTGTCACGTTATCATATTAAATAAAAAGTGAGAAATTTGCCCTTTTCTTCCATAAGATACATCAGATAAAAGATATTAAGAAAGAGATTAGAAGTCCTTTCCACATTGTTTTAGTTATCTAGTACTGCTATAACAGAAATACCAGTCCTGCTCATTAACATAATTGCTGCTAATCCCATCTCATCAACATCACAGAGACAGGATTTACACCACACAGGAAAATCACATCAGATGACAAAATGATGGACAATCACATAATATTGGGAATCATGGCCTAGCCAAGTTGATACATGTATTTTTGGGTGACACAATTCAATCCATAGCATTCTACCCTTAGACCCCCAAAATTCGTGACCTTGCCACATGTGAAATACATTCACCTCATCATATCATAGCAAAAGTCTTAAATCAACTCCAAGTCCAAAATCCAAAAATTCCTCGTCATCTGTGAAATCTAAAACACAAGTTATGTGCTTCCAAAGTACAATGGTGGAACAGGCACAAGGTAGGCATTTCCATTACAAATGGGAGAAATTGGAGAGAAAAAAGGGATAACAGGCAATAAGCAAGTCAGCAGAACACATTACATTATCCCTCAGGGCTTTAATATAATTCTCTGTCCGCTGAGACAATTTACACAATGGCCCTGCCCTCCAGACTCTTGGTGTTGGCCACATTCTCCAGATTCTGGGTGGAAGCCCCTGGGCTCTGGGCTTCAACTCCACCTCCTGTGCCCACTCGGACAGCAACTCTACTCCCTTGGCTTTCAGCGGCCCCATTCTTCTAGTCCATCTGAGTGGCAATTCCACCCTTACAAACTCCAGAGGCAATGGCTCCATCCTTTGAGACTCCAGAGGTTGGGCCTCACTGCCCACATCTGCCCAGCTTGAGCAAGTGTTCCAAAGCCCCTTAGCTCCACCAATAAGTGCCTGGAGGCACCCCACTCTGACAGGAGGCCTCCTGTGCAAAGACACTCAGCTGTTTCACTCTGTGGGTCAGCTCCAGTGCTGTCTCATGCTGGTCTCCTGGTTCTGCTGCTGCCGGTTCTCTGCTGCAGCTTCTTGCCGTCTTCACCATCTCCACTGTAACAGCTCTCCTCATTTCCTTCTGAGTCCTCTATCCATTCACAGTTTCAAAACCGCTTCCACATTTTAGGTATCTGTTAGAGCAGCACCCCACTCCCTGTACTAAACTCTTAGTTATCTAGTGCTGCTATAACAGAAATACCACAAATGGATGGCTTTAACAAAGAGAAATTTATTCTCTCACAGTTTAGGAGACTTAGACGTCCAAATGCAGAGCACCAGCTCTAAGGGAAGGCTTTCTCCCTCCATTGGTTCTGGAGGAAGGTCCTTGTCATCAGTCTTCCCTTGGTCTAGGTGCTTCTCTGAGGAGGAACCCTGGATCCAAAGGACACACTTTGCTCCCAGCACTGCTTTCTTGGTCGTATGAGGTCCCCATGTTTCCCTGCTTATTTCTTTCTTTTATATCTCAAAAGAGATTGGTTCAAAACACAATCTAATCTTGTAGCTTGAGTCCTGCCTCATGAACATAACTGCCACTAATCCCATCTCATCAACATCATAGAGATAGGATTTACAACACACAGGAAAATCACATCTGATGATAAAATGGTGGACAATCACATAATACTGGAAATCATGGCCTAGCCAAATTGATATGCATATTTTGGGGGTCATAATTCAATCCATAACACCCATTTTTGGTATCAAAAAGTATGTACTTCAACATAATGTCATTTTTGTTAAAAAAAACACATACTTAAAAATCTGAGTACAAAAATATAGAACAAAAATAAATTCTCTTTCATTCCTAAATTATACATAATCTAATACAGTGAAGGAAACCCTGGTTGTGTAGTGATTAAGAGCTATGGCTGCTAATCAGAAGGTCGGCAGTTCAAATCTGCCAGGTGCTCCTTGGAAACCCTACGGGGTAGTTCTACTCTGCCCTATAGGTCAATATGAGTCAGAATCAACTCCACAGCAAAGGGTTTTTTTTTTTTTTTTTTTTTTTTAAATACAGTGAAACCTATGAGAGCCAGAACTCGACATGACTACCTTGTTCTTCTGGGTCTCGCAAGTTTTCCTCCTTCGACAAGCTGCAGTCTTACCACTTTTGTATCGCTCGTTTTAGTGGAAAATATTTGAGTTTTCCTTCTCTGACAATTTTCTGCCTTACACAGGTTCTGGCTTTTGTAGGTTTTACACAGATGTATATCTTTTTCTTTGAGCTTTAAATCTTAGCTAAAGAGGCCTTCTTCATTTTGAAATTATTTTTAAAATTTTTCAAAGTTGCTCTAATGTAAGGAGCCCTGGTGGCACAGTGGTAAAGTGCTTGACTGTTAACCAAAACGTTGGCAGTTTGAACCAAGATGTTAAAAATAATCAAAATACAAAGAAATTAAAACATAAGACTTTTTTCTGAGCAGTCATTCTATATACATGCAGGGAGATCATTTTGTTTCTAAAAAAAGTGGCTCAAAGTAGGTTAGTTACAATTGTTAAAAAAAAAAATAAACCTTTGAATTAGCTAAAAACAATAACATAATATTTGACTATTTCATGATTTAATAAACGATCTGCAAATCGGAGTAGCACAAGTCTCCCTGGAAGAAGAAAATGAAGAAAAATGCTCCCGAGGACTGGTTTCACAGAAGCTTAAATAATTTTTTGCTTAATGAACACAAGTTTCTATGGAGACACACTACTTAATGGCTACTACGTTAGCATTTAAAAATTTAACTCCTGAAAAATTGGCCCTTTGCCCATTTGTAGCTATGAGATCTCTTGAAACCAAAATCAAGGAAGCGCGTAGTCTTTTTCATTAAATTACAACATAACCGGTTTGTTATTAACTACCCTTTCGGGTTTGTGAGTAACTACCCTTTCCTGCCAGAAAAGACAAATATACAATGTTGCAGAGCAGTTACCAGAAACAAAACAAAACAAAACAAAAATAAGTCCATACTTATTTTTGCACTTCGGTTGTACACTCAAACAGTCATTTGACTGCGTGATAGAATAAGTAAGGTATCTATTATTAATTTTTTCCCCCACAAGAGTGAGGTAGGGAATCCTTCTTTATTTTTTTTCCAGATGGTTAGGTATTCATTAATTCATTCACAAATTTACTTTGCATGGGCACTATGTTCAGGAACTGTTCTAGGTACTGAGAATACAGTTGTAAACAAGACAAAATGGTCTCTGCTATCATAGTGCTTACATTCTAGTGTGAGGAGACAGGCTTTAAATAGCAGCTTACTGTTGTTTTTAGATCCCGGCAAATTGGTTCCGAGTCATAGCGACCCTGTGTACAACGGAACAAAACACTGCCTGGTCCTACGCCATCCTCACCATCATTGCTACATTTGAGCCCATTGTT